CAGAGTGTTGTTCAGCATGGGGGTGAGTAGAAAATGAAGGCTAATCATGTTTTGGGTGTACTATTCCTTTAAACCTGGGGCGTGCAGGTGGCACAGCAGTTGGACCCATGTACGGAGGATGTCCTGGATGCAGCTTACCTGGATTCTAATCCGTCCTGTGGTCCTTTGCTGCATGTCTCTTCCCCTCTCTCATACCCCCTTTCCTGTCAGCCTACTGTTGAAACAACGAGCCACTAGTGCAGGAAAAACTCAAAAAAACAAAAACAAAAACAAAAAAAGTCTTAAACTATATACAAACACATGCTTACAAGTATTGAAAAAAATCATCAGTTCAGTTTATTATAATATCCTAAGTAGGGGTGGGTATTGGCAAAGAAGTCATGATTCGATTCGAATCACGATTCATAGGCCACGATGCGATTCTATCAGTATGCATCATGATACTTGAAATATTGCGATGCATTGCGATATTTTCACTGAACACTGTAAGGAAAAGATACAGCCCTTACCAGTGGCTGACTGGCTGGGTATGATCTGGATCGTGTCTTCAATTGATACATAACTGAAAACAACTGAATTCATACATAGCTGTATTTATTGAAACGACTTTTGGAGGTGTTGCCATGAAAACAAATACTGGACACAAATATTACTATTACTGGTGTGGACACTGACAAAAAGATCTTAGGATTCATCAAACTTAAAATAACAAAATAAGGATAACCACTGCCGTTTACATGGCCTCAGTGGTCCTTTAAACCAATGAAACAAAAACATTCAAATGTATATTTCCGCTTTTGCAAATGACGTGCGTCATATCAATTTCATCGTCGCAGTATCCCCTAGTGACACAAGGCAGCGGGCGTCTACACATCCGCAGCGACATCTGCTGGACTGGAAGTTGTATTCCACTTGATTTGGCTGGTGTTCGCCAACCATTTGTGTATTTTATTTGTTCATTTTTTTAAATTAAGAATCGATTCTTGCCATCAAGAATCGATGCAGTAGATCACAAGAATTAGAATCAGGATGCATCGTCATGGTGATTATTTTGCACACCCCTAATCCTAAGGGGGGACTGATATGCCGCACAAACGATAAAAGAAAGGGCACAATAAAGGAAAAACAACCACAAACAGTCACTCAGTACAATTTAAAAGTTCCAGAAGAAAATCATTTCTTACAACACAAACAAACCATTGATTGATTCTTAGCCCAATAGTATCCAAAAGAATAAAAAACAGTGACTTAGTCAAGAAATGGAATGTCAACAAATGCGCTAACAAATGCTCATTAGTAGGGTGAGGCTTAAAAAGGGTCACAAATAGAATACATTAAGTGGCAGATAATGACCAGATTATAAATAGTAGTATTAAACTCACTTTTTCTAAATGCATAGACTGAAGGAATACTGGTGAAGGTTTTGAGGAAGAAAGGAGAGGCTCTCGTAACTTGACAAGGATAAAGTGCTGAAGAGGTAATGTGATTTTGGGGTGTTAGAGCAGGAGCCAATCAGTCTGGTTCTGACTGACTATGTACTAATCTGCTAGGTTATAATTGTAGAACTGCAGAGTGCAACATTGCCTAGGCATCCCCTATTTGAAATAATTGGGGTAACAAAAAACAAAACAAAGAAAAACCCTAACCCAAAGCATGAAGTATTTAAATGAGTCAACAAGTTAATCCGGGGAGCAGCTTCTATGGGAAAGCAAAACCTGCATCTCAGAAAAAAAATAAATAAATAAAGACACCAATTGATGTGAAGGCTGAACTTGCAAAATCAGATCTTAACCAAATGAGCACTTTATGGACAACAAAGGAAAATTATAACACCCTGGCTTTGCTACATGTTGCTCTCCATTGTTTACTTTCCTGCATTCTGTCGCACTGGCGACATCATCAACGCTAACCAAGCGTGATGGTGTCACCAGAGACGCAGCTGCGGGGGGACAGAGATGGGTTAGACTGTGCTTGTTTGCCAATGGGAAGGGAGCCAAATGCCAATTGATAGTGGGTCGACCCATGTTTGAAAAATCTGTTTTAACACACTATTTTCAGAGGGAAAGAGGCTTTACTGTAGTTATGTTAAAACAGTTATAACCCAGAGATTACTAATCTACCCACTGGTATTCAGACATGACCCAGTGGAATTTATTCCAAGGCTGGTTCCTTCCTGTGTGTCTTCAGTGCAAAATATCTTCTCGTCATCCTGAAACCATTATTCCATCCATCCCCACCCAACTTGGAACAAAACTGTAAACATTCATCATACTTAAGTACCCTGTTTGCTCTGGACTTTTGAAAACAGGGAGTGACTCTGTCACGTAAATCTGTTTTATTATGGCAAATTAGTGGAGAATCTACTGGTGTATACTTTATTTCTTAGTCACTCTGGAGTAGAGGTTGCACCACTGGGCATAATCTGTAAAAAAGTGGGACTTACAGTACGACTTTCAATACAATAGTTTGTTAAATCTGTGTTAAAGCAAAAGGCTTTTTGATTGATTTATTTTTTTTATGATCAGCATAACCTCTGAAGCTTGTTTTTTGTGTACTCTGGAGTGTCTATTTAGATGGTACTTTTGAATAAAACAGTCCTGTGTGGACCCTTATTTGTCTATTTAAATGGGTTTTCTGAGTAAATCTTTGTTCACATATATCACAAGAGAAAGGTTTCTGTCCTGTGTGCACCTTCAGGTGATAGTTTAAAGTTGTTTTTTGGCTAAATTTTTCACCACACATATCACAACAGTAAGGTTTCTGTCCTGTGTGGACTCTGTGTTTAATTAAAGTTATGTTTTGGCTAAATCTCTCTCCACACAGATCACAGCAGAAAGGTTTCTGCCCTGTGTGGATTCTCATATGAGTGTTTAAAACTCCTTTACGGATAAAACTTTGTCCACATAAATCACATGGATTTCATATGTGTATCTATATTTTCTTTGTGAATAAACAACATAAAAAACAAAACTATATTCTGTTATACAATTTAATCTGTTTCAAAAACTCCAATATAACCTGATATCCTCTGCTTCCTGATTCCTTTTGCAGTAAATAAAAAATGTCAAGTTTCATTTTCATATTACTAATATTTTTTTCTGTGTAATTTAAAGATTGTTCATCACTTGATTGTTCTGAACTGGACTCCCTTTCAATTGATCTCTGCTTTTTCTGATTTTATAATTCTACTCTCTTCCTATCTTCTTCGTTTCTTTCCTTCCACAAGAATCACTTCCTGTTTCCTCGCTACTCACGAACCCAGAACATTTCTCCTCAAGTTTTACTTCATATCTATTAGTCATTTCAAAACAAGCTCAGACTGTACATTGTTTAAGTTTTGGTGGTTCATTTTTACCCAGCTAAATTTCATAGGACAAACCGATCCAGTTTATGTCCAGAGATATTAAATCAAATCAACTAATTTGACACCATAAGCACCCTCTGTGCAATGATATAGGAAAAAATCCAACACTGTTGGAACACCGTAAAGCCAAAATTTTGGGTACAAAAGCAAGTGCTAAAAGGGTATTTTTCAGGAAGCAGAGCCAATGGCATTCAAATTTCATACTGCAGATGAATGCAGTGAAATTAAAAAGGAAAAAACATACGGTAAGAAACCAAAGTTTAACGATTCTTATTTTCAATATTGTCATATGACATTGTTTTGCGACGAGATTCATTACCTTTAGCTATTCATCTTTCACACAGGTACTGGAAATAGAAATGTAATTCAATCCAACTGTAGGTGATGGGGAGATCAGGATTTTACCTGGTCTTTACCACACTGGTCCTCAAGGGAAACGTTGTCTTCCTTCAGGCAAAACAATACAGCTTTTGTTCACTGGAGGGAGCCAAAATAGACCAAAACTGAGCATTCTTTAGTACTGCTTTAAGCAAACAGATGAGTTCATGGTCCACTCAGTGACAGCAATGGCTCTGTATTAGAGAAAATGTGTTTACATACACTAAGAAAATATTTCTGGTATAATTCAGTCTGAAAAATAGATAAAATACAGAGAGCACAAAGAGGCCTGTAAAATAAATTAACCATTATATAACAAAACAAACCCCTAAGTTTCTAAATACAACAATAATCAAAGAAAGGCTGAAAACATCAAGTGTGACAAATACCTTTAATGCACAAATGATTCACAGTCAAAGGCAATTGTACAGTTTTGGTGCGGATTCTTAACCTTACAACAGCCAGATGCATGTCTAGCTCCGCCTAGCTCCACTCACATACATCTGGGACACCGCTCATTGAAAGTGATTTCCCCAACCAAATGTATGGTCTGGCCAATCAAGACGCAGGGCGAGTGTTTCCTGGATGTGACGTAGTGGAGAAGCGAGTTCTGTAAGTCGTTCATCTATACTTTTTTGGTTGGCTTCTTTTTTTAAAATAAGTTTGCTGTGCACAATGTTGCCTCTTATCAGCACATTTTCATGGCACAAACGACATTGATCATTTACCGACATTGCGCTGATTCCACTGTTGCTATATCCAAGATGTCGGCTGTTCTGTTTTGTTTTTTTCCTGCGTAGCTCTCACAGCGTCACGGGTTAGCTTCGGTGTGAGTGGTTGAAATAGCACGTCGATAAAGATGACAGACAAGTGGCTTATCCAATCATATGCAAGAAGTTTTGATAAGGCCCAGCCTTCAGTAAAGGCAATTCCTATGGCGGTGTCCCATATGTATGTGAGTGGAGCTAGGCGGAGCTAGACATGCATCTGGCTGTTGTCAGGTTAGCAGATTCTTGCTTTAATCATTTAAAGCAAGAATTGGAACCCATAATGAATCTTTTGATGTCCCTTTTGGCTGACTATTTGCCGATAGAAATTACAACACAAAAGGTTTCTGTCCCGTGTGGACTCGTGCATGTCTGTTTAATTTGCCTCTATCACTAAATTTCTGTCCACAGAGATCACAACAGAAAGGTTTCTCTCCTGTGTGTATACTCATATGTTTGTTTAGGGTTGCCTTTTGGGTAAATCTTTGACCACAGAGATCACAACGGAAAGGTTTCTGCCCAGTGTGAATTCTTACATGTGTCTTCAGATTTCCCTTGTCATTGAATCTTTGTCCACAGTAATCACAACAAAAAGGTTTCTCTCCAGTGTGGATTCTCATGTGCCTGTTTAGAGTTGATTTTTCATTAAACCTTTGTCCACAGATGTCACAACAGAAAGGTTTCTGTTCTGTGTGACTTCTCATGTGCGTGTTTAAAGTTGTTTTTCGGGTAAATCTTTGACCGCATAAATCACAACAGAAAGGTTTCTGTCCTAAGTGGCTTTTCATGTGTATTTTTAAATTTCCTTTATAACCAAATCTTTGCCCACAGAGATCACAACAGAAAGGCTTCTGTCCTGTGGGTTTCTGCCTTGTGTGGGTTCTCACGTGTTTGCTTAAATTTCCTTTATCGCTAAATCTTTGTCCACACATATCACAACAGAAAGGTTTCTCTCCTGTGTGAATCCTTACATGCGTGTTTAAAGTTGCTTTTTGAGTAAATCTTTGTCCACACAGATCACAACAGAAAGGTTTCTGTCCAGTGTGGATTCTCACATGTGTGTTTAAATTTCCTTTGGTGCTAAATCTTTGTCCACATAGATCACAACAATAAGGTTTCTCTCCAGTGTGGACTCTCATGTGCCTGTTTAAAGTTGCTTTTCGGTTACATCTTCGTCCACACACATCACAAAAGAAAGGTTTCTGTTCTCTGTGGACTTTAATGTGGGCCTTCAAATTGGCTTTATGGCCAAATCTTTTTACACACATATCACAACCGTAAGGTTTATGTCCTGTGTGAATTTGCCTATGAATCTCTAAGTTTTGTTTTCTATCAAATATTTTACCACAGTCATCACAACTAAATTTCAAACCTTCCTGCAATTTCTTTCCAGAGTCCACTTTCTTCTTCTCTGTAAAATTTGTATTATCTTGCAAGCTTGAAGACCCCATTTTCGAATCAATCGTGTCTTTTTGAAGCAAGCAATAGTGAAGAAAATGCTCAGCAAACTCAGAGGAGCTAAAAGGCTTGTTAATACTTCCATCTGACTGAGGAGCTCCATCCATATGGTTCGTTTTAAGTCCAGCATCTGATAAGTGTTGCAGCTCAGAGACAGAGTGCTTGATATTAGTGTTCCCTTCCTCCTCCTCAGTATCTTCCATCTTAAAAGAAGCAGCCATATCTCCATGACTTTGTATCCCATCTTTTATTTGGTCTGGATAAAGTTGTGAGGACAGAGGGGATTGGTTATCGTCCACAGTCTTTACAGGAGAAGCAGTTACTGAAAACGGGATGGCATCAATCACTTCCTTCCCATTGAGCCGCTGTCCCCCCAGACTGACATAGACCTCTTCTTGTTCCTCTTTTATGTCATGGGGGTTGGGGTCATGAAGGTCAGCACAAGGTCTGTGGCCTACAGGAACTCCTTCTTGAGCCATCGACATCTGGTGGATATCTGCAGAAAACATTAAATCACATGCGTATTGGAGATTATTCTGACTTCAGCCTGGACTGTGTTTTATTTTAAACTAAAAAATAATATTCAATACATTATTTATATTTAATTTTATGATTTCATTACAATTTTTCCTCATCCTTTATCTCATATTGTTTATCTTTATCAACAATCCCTCTCAAGACCCAACTTAAAACTATTTAACATCTTGGATGTGCTGTAAGTTTGAAGGTCAAATGAAAAGTATTTTGAATCTTGTTTCTTTCAAATAATTATTTATTCCTATTATCCTGCTTGTTGATTCTTCACAAAAAAATTAAATTGTATATGCTTATGTTTGAAGCCTGAAATGTGGTAAAAGGTTGAAGAGCGTTGATCTGCACGCTAGCTGCAACCAAAGTAACTTGTTGACTCACCGGCCAAGCGGACAGGAAGATAAAATGATTTACCAGCCAAGGATGTTTTTACCAGAAAAAAATATATAAATAATAATTTGCTTTCATATATGTTTAAGGAACGTATTAACTGACTGAGCCATTATGTTAAATGTAAACAAATTTACAGTTAAAAGTAATATAGGTTTATTAAATATAGTTATGATTTAGAATTTAATTCAAAGACTTTTTGTCTTTGTCACAACACTGCTCTTATGGGAAGTATTTGTGCTTGACTAGGGTGGAAAATTCATAAGGAACACATTAGATCATTTTTAGGTACATTTTTAAATTTCATAGGTTAATTCAACTGATCACAAAGCTTAATGCTACGTTCACACACCATGATTTGAGCATCAAAAAAGGGCTTGCTGCTTCATTTTTGATCCAGTTAAGTCATGTACTGATGCATCTGATGCTTCTTATGCTCCTGTGTTAAATGGCAGAGAGTGACTTTGCTATATTTGCTGTGATCAGTTGGTAAAAAGTAGTTTTAATTAGTTTTTATGCAAGAAAGTCCACCTAAAAACATAATATGTACAGTCAGTACATCAAGATTATGATCCTGCATTAAAATATTATTTTGCTGTTCAGTGTGCTGTCACTGGGAATCCCCGGCAGCCGCCTCAGGCCAGTTCACCTCTTGGGAGTTTTCCCCTATTGTTCATGGCGGCTTGGAGTAGGTGTTAGCATTTTTCTTTTATGTACCTCAAACTGCAAGCACCAAAATAATAAGTGAAGGTATTTTGCTGGCAGTTTAAATTAATTTAGGCGTTAATAAACTGTTTCAGAGGAGTGATCAAAGTCAATGTCCATCTCCCTGCCAGCTCCCAGATCAGCTTCTCTGATTGGCTGACGGCACGTAGAGCAGCTGATTTTCAATTTTTACACTTCCAGCATCTGCTTCATGTGAAATTTTGAACATTTCAGCGAACTTTCCAGAAGAACAACAGGGCGTACAATTTGTCTTTTTTTTTTTTTTTTTTTTTTTTTAAGTAAAGACCGTACATTGTACGACCTTATGCATTGCTAGCTAAAAGTATGATGCATGTGTATTCTGGTAAAATGTCTATTTGTATAACTGACATGTTTTGTTTGTCAGTCTGATTTCAGCACTTATGTTTACCAGTGCAAAGGTTTATGCTGATGATTGACTTTTGAGTGCATTGAATGTGCACTGCCCTATATTTTTAGAAAAGTGATCATCTTGTTTTCTCTTCTCAGCACTATGGGAGTGCTGAAAGAGCCGACCAGTTCACCCTGAAGCCAATAAAATGTTTGCCGAAAACCTGTGTCCCATTGAAAAAAAAAAAAACATTTAATTATTTTCTGTGTGCTGTTTTCTACTTTCTAACTCCCTGGAGTTATAAGTAAATGAGTAAGCAGTATTGCACGCTAAAAGAAAAACCAAGCTGGGTTTAATTATGCAGGAATGTTACACTTGACCTGTCTGAGTTTTCTTATTTCCAACTGTGAAAGTCTGCAAGCTCGACAAAGCACCAGACTGTGTGTGTACACTAGGGCTCAAACAATTAACCTGATTAATCCATATTAACCTATTAATGAAATAATCTTCAACTAGTTAGTAATCATTCAATCGTTAACTGGAGTTTAGAGACTGTAAAATATACCTTTTGGTGACAAATCAAACAACCTTTCAGAATTANACAAATCAAACAACCTTTCAGAATTATTTATACCATTTAAGATAAAAAAAAAACTTTTTTGTCTGTCAATTTGCTCTATCCTGAACTCCTCAAGTGGAATCGTTTTAGTTTGTAAAAAGTCTTCTTTAAGGAATCTTTAGCTAACCGATTATTAATCAATTAATCGAAAAAATGATGGACAGATTAATCGAATTGTAAAATAATCCTTAGTTGCAGCCATAGTATAAACCATAATTTTCTCTCGAAATAAAGAAGTTAGTTTGATAAACTACTTTATTATAAAGCAAATGATTTAGCTGGATAATCTGAAACCTATCAATATTTCCTTATACTAAAATCCCTGTCCCTAAACAGCTTGTATCGTTTCCAAACACACATGCCACTCACAACATGGCGGACGTGGGTTGTTTCTATCGAGCATTGAGCCATTAGCTCTTTTATGTCTACGGTAAATATTTGTGTTAAAAGAAAGTCGTCGAAAATGTCTCTACAGTGAAATCAACAGGAAACCATACAGATGTAATCGTTGTGCCTGAACACACCAGTCTGCAGGATGTTGTCGTCCAGCTTGTATTCTTTATACTCTTCTTTCACTGCTTCAGAAATGTCCGCCATTGCTGTGATCCACCACCGCTGGAGCTGCTGCCCCCTGATCTGTGTTCGCAGCTTCGTTTTAACTGTCCTTTAACAGTTATTGCGCTCAGAGCTCAGCTTCATCCAAACTAGAAGGAGAGGTAAAATGGAGGAGCAGCTTTCATCTGGATCGATCTGGGTCTTCTTGTTCTATGATTTTCGAGGCAGCCAGTATAGGCAGGTTGAGGTTCAATACTGCCCCCCTCAGCCTGTAAGAAATACAACTCTAATTAAAACGTTAGTGGGATAAAGAAAACAGTACTATATTTTACAATATAGTCCTTGATTTAAACAAACAAACACACAAATATTGTCTCTCTTTTGGGGAGGCTCCATTTCCTCGTATTTTTCTAAATGTAAAGGAATTGTTCCCACTGATGTCTATTTATTCATTGGATTGCTGATACACTAAAAAAAAAACCCTGCCGCCATCTTGGTACTCCCCAATTTCACAGAGTCGTGTCATAAAAATGTCTGATATGTAATGTAATTACCATAACCATGTAATCAGTACATTATATTACATGTACATTAGGGTGGTCCTTATTTTTTAAGTTTTCATATTTTATTGTCTGACCCAGTTTAAACGTTCCATATATTGAGGAAACATCATATGCTAATTATTGCCTCAATATATCTATATTAAGAGGTAGCTTAAGCTGATTGAATATACTGCAAAACGTCCATAGTCGAGCAATCTTATTAACTCTTGCATAATGTATTAAAAGTAGACTTATATCAATTTAAAAAAATCCAAATTAAATGTTTTAGTGAAAAAGACAAAATTCTTGAAATTTAGCATGAGCTCATTTTTTGTATGTTGGAACATTTTAAGAGGGTCAGAGCAAAAGAAATCTTAACTTTATTTATTTCTTTTTTTAAACCAATATGGCGGCTAGTGACTTCCAGTGTTGGGCACGTTACTTTGAAAAAGTAATTAGTTATAGTTGCTAGTTACTTCTCCCAAAAAGTAACTGAGTTACTAACTGAGTTACTCCACAATAAAAGTAACTAGTTACTAGTAAAAGTAAGTAATTTACATATTGCTGATGTTTTAGGGGTTCTAATGGCATGTTTTCTTCATTTTAATGCTTGATACGGTCCAGTTTTGTGGATAATAAAACTGATACAGAACCAAATGCTGCCCTATCATGATAATTTAGTGACTAATAAATCAGCATGATTTCAAGTCACTCACAACATGTCTGGAAAAAAAAAATTTCAGCCATTTGATTTTCCTTTTTCAAATACATCTAATCCAGGCCTTTTCAAAATCGGGAATACAACTGTTGATTTAAAACAAGCATAGAAAATCCCTGCAGTCATTCAAGTGTTTGGTCAAAGCAGAATGGTTCTAAAGCTGAATAACCGTAGCTAATTCAGAGAGGGAGATTACCTTTAAGTCAGAAAACCCCTGATCAGTGCTAAATATATGTAACTATTTCATATACATTGCTGTTAATGTGTATTAGATGATGACAAGAGAAGCTTAAGACACTTGCCTTGTGATACATAGGTCGTTCACTTCCCTTTAGGTTGGATAAATAGGTACTTTACTAAAGAAATGTTTTAAATCAGTAGTTATTATTGTTTTACTGTTAACTGATTCACTTGATCCCTAAAGGATGAGAACCAGGGGGAAGAGATGCAGAAACAGAGTAAATATTGAACCTTTATCTGTCAGAACGTAAAGCCATTTCTTTTACATTATTTTTTGTTTCTTTTGTTTAAGGTGTTGGGCTAACCGGATTAATTTTTTCGGTGAAGGTTAGCGTGCTAATACTTTACTGATTTCATTTATAAATTTTTTATTTTTATTCTATTTGTTATTATTTTATTATATTCTTATTTTCTATTATTATTGTCTTCTGTGAGGAGATCCTTGTATCCTTGCCCTCAAAACTACAGGTGAACTTAATCTATCTTGTCTCTGAGATTTACGCTTTATTTGAAGTGCTGAAGACACTCACCAGAAGGGAATTTCATCATGGTTCTGTGTGAGAGTTTATCTAGGGGAGCACTTAGGTCTTTTTTCCTCCTACTCAGTTTAATTTATCTGAACAGTTTTAATAAATATCTGTTAAGTGTTTCTCTGGTCAGCATAGTTGCATGTCTTAACCTTGTTCTTAGCATTAAAAAAAATCCTTTATTGACTCTTTCAACCTTGTGATGAACATTCCTTGAATTCAGGATATTTTTTATGAACTGTGACACAACTAAAACCTGTTGACTTGACAGCCTTGTCTCTGTTATTCATATACATATATAGATATAAATGTTTGGTAAAATGATAATTGGATTTTCCCCCAACACTGCTTATAATTAACAGTGTTTATACAGCAAAATTATCCAGAGAAATCTAAAACAGTGTCCAATAGTTTGATCTCTTATGTAAGTAAAATACTTATAAAGCAAAATCGCACTGAAATCACAAATCTGCTGCTAAGTCAGTTTTAAGCTTGTTTTTAAGCTACGTTTTTGTCCACACAGATCACAACCGAAAGGTTTCTTTCCCATGTGGATTTTTATGTCTTTTTAAATTTGATTTCTCGCTAAATCTTTTTCCACATAAATCACAACTGTACGGTCACTGACTTGTGTGCATTCTCTTTTGAGCATTTAAATTTTTTTTTCTATTAAATGTTCTACCACAGTCCTTTCTTGTTAAATTAAAGGGGCATTACACAGTTTTCCAATGAACACAGAACTGCAGCACTCTTCTACTTGTTCTCGTAGTGCACGCTCATACTTGAGAAGGATCTTTATTTTATTTTTTTTACTTTTCACTTTACGTGGAGTTTCCATTAGTGTCTGAGTAAAGCTGAATGCCGGTCGCTTCTTAGTATCCACAAAATCAACCTTGAATAGAACGCTTCAATTGTTTGCCAAGTCAGACCCATTCAACATGGACATGTTTGAAGTACCATCCAATGAATAGTGCTGGAACTTCCACAACCTAATTAAGGAAAATAGGCTACAGGCTTATAGATGCATTGGCTCTCCACTAAAGAGATGTCAGTTTGCTCATTAAACAATTTTTTACTCATAAAGGTTCAAATAAAAAGGTGATTTTAAAGATGTTGTTCAGAAAAGTCTTACAAAATATCTCTTTAAACAGAATAAACTAGACCATATGCAGATTTACAAGCATCATCAAAATGTTAATTTATTATATAGTTTCAAATATAAAGCTTAAACATATTTCATTTTTTCTTGCTTCTTCAACCAGTTGTCAAACTCCATTTCATAAGACAGATAGATCCAGTTTATTTCCAGAGACATTAAGTTGACATCTACACAATATGGAATCACATGGAGGAACTTTGTTTAATGACAGAGAAAAAAATCACATCTAGTTGAACACAGAAAAGCCAAATCCTGGATACAATTTGTTTTTTTGGAACCAGATTTTGTTTGAACTCGAACAAGGCTAATAAAAAACACAAATTGCTTTAGTTTTATTCAACTCCATCTAGATTGGCATCTGTTTGGGATCTTTGTCCAAATGACGACGTCCTTTAGTAAAAGGTTCAGCTGAATTTATCTTGATTAAAGATATTTTAGGATTAAGATGAGTTTATTATCCTATTCAGTGACAGCAATAGTTTAGTATTGAAAAAAATGAGTCTAAATGCCCTGAGAAAAGAAAAATGTGGTAGAGCTTGGTCCGAATAAAAGATAAAATATGTTAAATAGAAAGATGCCTGCAAAGGAAACTACCAGATACACATAAAATCTCTAACTTCTCCAACATAAAAATAACCTTTAAAGGAGATAATTATATGACCAGACTTGAGTCACCCTTGCTCAGGCCTATAAACTGGATTTTTAGCGTTACTGTCATTTACTACGATAACCGCCGACAATTTCCCAATGTTGGTAAAAGTAAAATAAACATGATTCTGCTGTTTTTCCTGTGTGCATTGGTGGCTGGTGTTTCCTTCCCTTTTAATACACTGCAGTGTGTCTAATCACGTTACTCCACCGATCCAGTCAGAAGCGTAAACAAAGAGAATGGTGGATGAATCCAATGAAGAAGCGTCTAACACAGCTGTAAATTAAATAACAGCAGTTATTCCTGTGGAGTCGGGCAAGAGCTGAGATTAAGCTGAGCATGCAGAGAAAAGCAAGCTGTCAGAATTGAGCTCACGGCAGCGAGGGCGTACAAGTTTAATTGATTCAAATTGTTGTCACTGCATGCTCAGTTCGGTGGCACCAAAATTACGCCATAGATGTGGATCAAAAGAACACAAAATGCAAAGTTTGTCTGAAAACTGTTGGGACTACCCAAAGTAACGAATCAAACTTCCACCACCTACAACACAACAATGCTGTTCAATTCAAAGATATGCAAGAGGCTCCATTACCTTTGTACAAAGATGTTTGCAAGAGAGGAAACATTTTTCTCCTGTTCAATGAGACAAAGTTGAATGTTTAAACCTGAGTTGGTACAAGACTTTAATATTTAATTGAAAGTAATATGTAATGTGATGGTGTGAGTGTGCATGAAAGGTTGTTTGTCCTGTTTGTCTCTGTGTTGCCCTGCGATGGACTGGCGACCTGTCCAGGGTGTACCCTGCCTCTTGCCCATAGATGGCTGGTGATAGGCACCAGCACCCCTCGCGACCTCAATTGGGATTAAAGTGTCAGAAAATGGATGGAGGGATGGATATAATGTGATTTGTTCGATAAATTATGAATAGATCAGTTGCATTTTCTCACCATGCCTTTATTTCTGATAGAGGAGCCGGAGTATTAATTGTGCATTTTTCGCTATCAATGTAAAACTGCCCCAATTATCGTCATATAAATTAGTGTTGCACCGATACCAGTATCGGACAGGGCCCCAATCCAGCACCAGCACTAAAATGGTGGTGTCAGTATTGGCAAGTCCTGACAAATAGGACACCGATACCATTATGAGAGCCAAAAGTTTATTCAGCTATTTTCACCTATTCAAGGTAGGCAATAAAAAGTTCTACTG